TTCGCAGTTCCTGTTTTCCTATTCGGATCTGCGTCGTTGCTCGCGGGGCTCCTGGCTCTCAAACTTCCGGAAACGAATAACCGGAAACTGCCGGAGACGCTCGAGGATGCCGAGCTTTTCGGGAAGTTTATTTCGCAGTGAGAGACCCTGAACTCCTACAGAATTTCTCAGAAGTCTTCCGTATCTATACCTGAATTTCACTTTAACGAAACGATAAAAAACTTTTTCGCGTGAAACAGTCTTGAAAACATTTTTTTTGCACATCGTTGAACCCATGAGAGAGTTTAAGAAGGAAGTAACTTATGCTTCAATTGCTTACGGGTGTTCACTAACCTTAAAAAAACCATTAAATTTTGAAAAACTCAGTTGAAAAAAGACTAACATCTTTCGAATTGAGTTGCCAAAATCATTTTTTACTGTTTTCTGGCGGTAATTTTTGCAAGAGAGATTTCTCAGAGCATCTGATATTCATGTTGGAGTGAAAATTGCGGAAGAAATTCGATCAAATTTAGAGAATTGAAAAATAAAGCCATGTTTATTATGTCCCTATAATTTTCAAGAGTTCGATCGACACTCATGAAATGAGAAAATGGAGTGAGCAGGATTCATAAAAAATTCTGAAGTAGATGAAAACGAATTTAAATCCGATTTGAACAGCTTTAAACGATATGTAGAAAAATGCATTTCTCTACAAATTTTCAAAAGTTTTTCGAAGCTTCTAAAATAAGGAACAATTTTAAAAATTTATGATTTTCCCTCATTTTCCGAGGAACTTTTGAACAGACTGCACAAAAATTCTGGAAAAAAATTTTTCAGTCAAAAAGTATTCACCCGTTTCTGTCTGGGTATGGAATGAGAATTTATTCGTGGTTCACAAAACTTTTGATGAACCCATCGTATTTCTTTTCCCCAGTATATCCAGATATCTGTCCATTCATTTTCCTCTTTCTAGGAAGCTCGTTGGAACGTTCCAGAGCCGAAATGGACCACTTTCAGCCAATGCTAGCGCGTCCAAGTCTGAAGACGAAGCAGCTCCCAAGGAAGACGGAATTGCACAAGACTCATCAACTGAAATTTAGAATTATTCTGCAAAAAAGCATTTGTATGCGAAATCTCACTCCAACTAATAAAAGCACAAACTTTCGATCAATTGCTTTTTCGCTGTTCTCCTTTTCCGGCTGCGAGATGGATGCGAAGAACCGTTATTCAGAAAAGCTGGAATCATTATTTTTTCAAAACGTCGGAGGTTAAATTGATTTTGATTTAGTTTCATCATCTTATCTGAATTTTTCCTTCGATTTTGATTTTAATTACAGCGCGTTAATCGACGTTTTCCAACCTTTGGATTACTATTCTGCGAAAATGCCTGCGCTAGGATGAAACAGATTTGAATTTCCGCAGTCGGTATTGTTTTTCTTATAAATTTATTTCTGCAATCTGAGCGACTAATTAAAAAAGAAGAGTCCTGGCTGAGCCAGTTAATGATTAAAACGTATCTCACCATTCTCCTCTGAAGTTCATTTCGCAACATTCGCGCAGGAATTTTTTTTATTTTTACGAAAACAGGCTAAAACAAATTCTCAGTGCAACCCAGAGACACGGAAATGAAACCCAGTTCCCGACTTTCTGACATCTCGAGCGTTCCATATATTTCACGCGCAGTGGGCCAAGTGAACGAATGATACGACGCTGCTTTAAATTCCCCGTGGTACTGAGGGTGATTGTTGCAATTTTCCAACGGGAGTCCCCGAGGCAGTAAAACCCCCCAGCACCCGGGAAAATTCCGCCCGGGTTCGGGCGAGATTGCGGCCGGGGGGCCTTGAGTGTCAGTCATTCCGCGGGATTATGCCCGAGCTGGGAACCCGCCGAATGGCCCTTCCAGGCTCTGCAGAATCCCTGCGTGAAGGAACGGAAAACGGCCACGTGTCAATGGAAGATCCGGATGTAAAAATCTTTTCTAGGCTTCCTGCGCAAAAATAAAATAAAACCGGAAGGGTCACGGGGATGGGCGAACGCGCTTTCAATCCCGTTGGATCTTTGTCTGAATTTCCGAACGTTTGGGATTTTTCTTCTTCAGGATTTTAACATTTAAGAAGGCGTATCTTTTACTTATTTTTTTGTTGGCATCGTCATTTCCGGTTGACGCGAAAAAGGAAAATTCGACAGGAGTCGATCGTTTTCTGGATATGGCGGTTCCGCGAAATTGAACTGAGCCTGTCTCGTGGAACCTCACGAAGAAAATATTTCAGGCCTTTTCATAGACTCGAAGACTAAAGGGTGTCAAAAAAAAAATGCCAAGGAGAAAGTTTTGTCGCAGCGAGAATAATGTCGGGGCACAGTAACTTTTTTTAAAGCGCTTTGTCTGGCTTGGAAAGCTTTCTGCAAAAAACCCGATTTAGGCGAGGTATATTTTTCTATGATTATGTTGTTTTTTTCTATCATTTATGACCCGTGAAATTCTTTAGTTTGATTTTTTGGGCCCACATTTCTTCACTATAAAAATCTTATTTAAAGTCATTTTTAACTCTCGTGTACTTGGAACTGCATATTTTTTCGTCCGTAACCTTTTCTTCAGAGTTTTTCCTCCCGTGTGGATTTTTCGGAATTCAAGAATTTTTTGATGGCACTGACTGAATAATTTTTGCAAAAATGACCACCAAAAGAAGGAAGGTCCTTCAGAAAATGGGTTCCACTTCTGGGTGCATTTTCGGAGGCAAGGAAAAAGTTCCTCGCTCACATCTGCTGGTTCGCAAACTTTTCAAACACTAAACAATCTATGGAAAAACATAGATGAATTCCAGTTTTCCCGACACAATTTTGAAGTTCAAGCGGAAGAAATTGATTCTGTAGAAGAGTTCTTCCAGTATTTTTTTTTTATTGTCCTCGGTCAGTTTATACAACATGGAAAGGAACAAAAAATATTATATTCGCTGTGAGACGGGATATTGAAACAGCTGCTTTTGATCTTTACCATCTCATCGGATACGAGAGGTGGATGATAAAGAAATTCATTCCTTCAACAGCGACATTCAATTTACATTAAAATCGGTTGAACCTTCTGGGAACTTGCATCACCCGTGTTCAACGAGTTCTCTGGATAGATTTCTGCATGCAGAAATCGTTCGAGGAAGCAATTATTTTAATCGCACCAAGAAAATATCGTTGAAATTTCTGAGGTTGAATTTGATTCGGAGGGAAAGTTTCAGATTGCTACGATTGAAATTTTGCGATCAAAACAATGCACTGTACCTCGTATATGTACGAGTATTTTATTCTGTCCATCGTCCTGTAAAAGTAATTCTGCCAAAACATTCGAAAATTTTCGAAGAATTCTGAAAATCCAAGCAGCCAATTTTTGATTAAAAATTTAAAAATAAAATGCAATAATTCAAAGTCAATCGTAACTCGAGCATGCCTCATACACATGGAAAACTTTTAAAAATTCCTAACGAAATAATTATTCACTATTTCCTGCCCAAAAATCGTCGCATTCGAAAGAAACTTCCTTAAAACTTTTGGAGCAGGACATAAAAGCAGCAGTATTCACTTCTCAATCATGAATTTTTGCAACAAAAACAAAAAACCAGAAAACTTTCGTGAAATGCATCTTCCCTGAAGAAAGCAATAAAAAATCTGCCCTCAAGTGCATGAAACAAATAGTTCCTCGGAAATGATACTACGATCTGTCCACCGTTTTGTCTCTGTCCCAAATCGCATCTTCATAGATGCACCAAAAAGAAGAAAAAAGTATATATGAAAACTCTGCAAATCTCAAGATCGGCTCCAACTGAATGAAAACCTCGGGGATCTTTTCCTCTACATCTCTCAAAAGGAAAGGTGATTGCGAGAAGCTTTGCGTTTCTCAAACAAGACGCTCGATCAACTCGCCTTCGCATCGGGAAAGGAAAAAATAATGCAGAAAGAGGAAAAAGAAGGACGAAATTGGCTGGAATCAAGAAAAGGAGAGGAAGAGAAGGAAGACTTTTGCCTGGATATGCTGTCTGTGAATAAAGCAAAAAAGAGTATATAGGAAGAAGCACTGGAAGCAAACGTCAGCTAAAACGGATGAGAGTCGATGCGTCTTCTTTCCATCCGCATGACTGGCCCGTGTCGAGTGATGCCTGTCGACACTAACACTATTGAGCATCCCTCGGATACCCCTATGGAAATATCTTTTAATTTTCCATCAAAAAATTCTTGCCATATATCAGCGAGTGACATTGATATTTGGTTCAACGATGACCATCACGAAGCAAAAAAAATCATAAACTTCAGCAGATATGAATATTTGCGCAGATTCGCTTCCGTAAAAAGTGGAAAAAATTGTAAATTTTTGAAACGGTGATTCAGTGTACCCCGTTTGGATTCAGCTCTCAAATTACAGAATCTACTCTTCAAAATTCAAATATTTGTGTACATTGACGTTCGTGAAATATGGCATTAATATGCACATTTTTAAAATGGTGATCCGCAGTATAGCTTGCGATCGGATTAGCTTTCAAAATTTCAGAATATACTTTTCAAGATTTAAATTTAAATATTTGTGTTCATTGTTGTTCATGATTTCAAAAATAGTGATTCAGTATGATATAAATCTTTTAATAAATAATTTGGCTCTGCTTGAGTCAGGAATGCTGGTTTTCCCTCAAATTTGAAGGGCAAAATAAAGAAAAGATTTAAAGATTGAAAGCTTAGTAAAAAACAATTTCTGGTTTGCTCAGAATTGTGTTTTTTTAAAGGCCACTCAAATTCCAGCTTCAAACAAATAGCTGAAACAAAAGAATTACTCAAAAAATCCAATGATTCAGCATTGAAAAAAGCTCCCTCCTAAATGTGGTAAATGATTTTTAAAATTACCTCAAATTCAAGGTTTATTTTGAGTATTTATTGAAGCTGAAATTTGATCAACTTAGTCAATAAATCTAAATTTTATAAATACTCTACAGTATTGGGCTGGACTTATCATCAAGTAATTTTCATCGCATCTGCAAATATATGAAGGACGAAACTATGTTTTTTCTTTATATCATCAACCACAAAATGGTGGGTGAAGAAAAAAAACTCATTTCTTTAGCTCACAGAACCACAGAAAAGTACCCGAGAAAATGCGATTCCGAAAATGCAATTCTCCATTCCGCATCGGCAAACACTTTTCTAAAAAAAGAAAAACACTTTTCGGCACAGACTTCCTCTGAGCAAACAAGACTCGCCGCCAAAATAAAAGCTTTTTCAACAACTCGACAAACGGCGTGTTTTTTCAAGCAGTTTTTAGCTTTTTGGCAGCCACATGATGGAATTATGGCTTGCCTATGAAGCCAGACAAAAAAAATTTGAAAAATATTCTCAGTCCCCACTATATATTGACACTCTTCTCGACGCTGTCGACACGATTTCCTTGTATGAAAGAAAAAGATAAGCCGATAGCCAAGTAACAGAGCGTAGAGGCTGAAAAGCAAGCACTAGGCTGTGTTTGATGAGGAAAAATCGGAGCTGCTTGACGATGATACCCTGGAGGAAGATTTTCCGCGCTGCGAATCTTTTCCTCGGCTTCCGCAATCTTCAGTCTGCAAACAAATATTGATACTCTTGCGCTTTTTGGGACACCTTCAGCTTCTGTCATCTCACAATAATTCCCTATTTTATTCTATTTCCCCAATAGATCAGCAAGGAATCAAAATTAATGTCTGTATGTCTGGTTTCCGCCCGCATTTCGAAACATTAGTCATTCAAACATTCCATCATTAATTATTTTCTTCTGGGCGTATTTGACGCTGATAATTAGACTTTTCTCACTCTCGTGATCCAGAATTGAAGCATATTCTTTGAAATATGAAGTTTATGCGTATTTTTTGTTCGAACTTTGAATATTCATTCGTGCAAACTTTTGGTCATTCATGGCATCATGGGTATACATTTGCAAAGTACAGTTTAATTTTTGACACGCAATTTTTTTCTGAGACGCTGCGTTGAGTACGAAAACCCGCAAACTATTATGTATGATCGGATGGAAAAAAGTCAAGTGTCCCGGCTGCTGATTTATTTTGCACGTTATATTTGGTATGAAACGGGAATTCTTTTTGGATGCGCTCAGAAATCCGGAAAAACTCACGAGAAATATGACTAAAAACACGATGAAAAGTCCCAGAAAAACGTAAGATAGTCTGCTGGGGATCTTCTGCTGTCGCTACTGTATATAGTATTTTTTTGTTTTCTTAGTAAAAGAACGGCGGTTGTTTGTGTCCGGATTTATCACCCTCCTCAGCAAATACATCGGGCACGCTGACTTTACTGTCAGTAAAAGAGCCCTTTACAAGGAGCGATTGACGAGGTGAAAAGCCGTCTTCAACCGCCTTTCAAGGCGGACGAACCCAGTGAAAAGGCTGCTTGGTTTTGCTCAACTGACAAAATCCCGCCAAAGCTCAGAAGCAGAAGCAGCAGGAGCCCACTGACCAGTCACGAATCCCGGGAATTGCCTGTTTATTCCGCAGAAACTGTCGACCCCTTTCTTTTATTGCGTAAGGCACCAGTAAAATGCCCTTCAACGGAATAGGCAGTACAGTACTTTTTTCTCGGCTTAATTTGTTGCCAAAAAAAAGAGAGTGCATTTTATCCGGAAAGAGACATTTCTATGAACAGTCACGTTCAATCCATAAATTCTTTTCTGGGAAAGGACTGGTTCGTACTGTGTTCCCTCAGGTTTATTCAAGATCGAATTCAGTTTCTTAGCGTTCAAATCTTTATTGAGAAATTTTGTAGTTCAGTTGCCTTTTCTTTCACGATTGATTAATTTTCCGAAAGGTAAGCCACGTGACAATATTTATCCAAAATGGGATTTGAGGCAATTGCAGTAAACTTTCCCAGGAATCTGAATTCAGTTTTTCCCGTCTGAAGTTTTCAAGTGGTCAAATACCCACTTTAAAACACCATACTTTTTGGTAATTCAGATACATTAATATGTTTGAAAAAATCAGGACGACATTCTTGATACACCATACCGAAGAATACACCATTCAATAGTGTTGTTTTTTTATTCATTGAGAACTTTATAAACTTCAATTTGAAAAACACAAATTATAACATTCATCAGCCGTGAGAAAAAAAGTACTGATTACTCTAACATGAATGTCTCCCTCGAAAAAAATTCGATCAATTAGCTGAGGTCTAGAATTAATTAGGGTTAACAATAAGGAATTTTTCTGCTTCGAAACGGTAATTTTTGACATCAAAAAATGAATATATTGTTTCATTCAGCATAATTTCTTCAAGTGCATTTTTAAAAATTGCTCAGCGACGCATGCGAACGTGTTTCCAACTAAGTTTCCGAGTTGATGGGTAGATGTCGTCTCCTTACACGAACAAGTGGGTTTCCCGAAGCCAGGAATTGTTCGGTCAGCCAAAACCCCCACGCGTTATTATGCTCAAAATCATCGACACCGTATTGGTTGACTATACATGCCAAGGAAGACAGAAATCCAGTCTTCTGTGTTGACAAGCTCGTTCCGGGATAATTCCGCTTCATGGTTAATTACAATTATCGGATCGTTCACCGGAAGCTCGCACGCGCGCGACGCGTGAAGCTCGAATAATCGCCTTTTTCCTTTAGGAAAAAACATTAATCCCCACTTCCTGCTATTCGCTAAGCAGAAGCGGAAGTCTCTCGTTGTTGCCTGTCTGCGTCGAATAAACATCAAATTGAATAATATTAAGTATGAATAAATGAAGAAAAAAAAATCGTGAGAAGCGGAGTGGAAGTGCTGGCCACTTTTTTTTTTGGTCCGGAACGAGTGAAATTGTCCGAACTGCGGTTTCTGATTTCAATGCCTCGCTGATCGCGTGAGATCACGGAGCTCTATACGAAAATACCATATAGGCTACTAACCGTTCTTTCCTCGGAAATCCAAACCTGTAATTTGCACTGACAACATTTTTGTTCACTTATTCATCGCGTGTTCCTGTTTTTCAGGATAAGTGGAATGAGAGGAACCACGACGAACAACTGCGGGTTGAGACCATCTGCTTTGTGCATGACGGCGTCTGAGTTTGTTTTCCCTTCAGTCAACAAGTCACAATTGCAGCCGGAAATGAAATTAGGCTTTAAATTGGCAGTTATTACCGGATATTTAGCGATCATGCTTTCGATGCTTCCATGCTTTCGATATATGCTTTAGCTGGAAAGAAACACGGGTAAAAATATCTCTTGCATATTTTAAAAACTGAACGTTGGAGAAAAATGAGAGGCGTAAATCAAAGGTAAAATGCAGTTTTTAAACCCATAAGTTCGGTTTTAAAAATCGCATTTCAGATTATATTACCTGTATTTAATGCTCCTTCACTTCCCTTTTCAACTCTTAGTTTCGTTGATATATCGAACGTTGCGTAATAAAATAAATAAACCTTGCAGAAAGCATAAAAAATTGTGCGAGTATTGCGAGGTATTATTTTACTTTTATTGTTGTTACAGTTTCGCATATATAATGGCTTCAATTCTACCAACAACAAAATTATGCAAAAAATGATCTTTTCTTCCTTCGATAGTGTTAAATTGCAGTGCTATTTTCGGCTAAAATGGCAGAAAATATTTATAAATTTTTCACAAGTTATTGGCCAAGACTGACCCTGCATCAAGACCTCATCGGACCTGGTTGGTTTCGAGAATGGAACATTGCTGGGTCAATTTTAAAATTTGAAGAAATAACCCCGATGAAGAACCAAATACTGTACCTTAAAAATCTTAATTTTCAAATTCCAATGAAAATTATGTTGAGATAAATCCCGAAGACTGAAGTGCAGCATATAAATCACAAATCCAGGAATAGTCAACTGTGTCTTTTCGGATGCATTCGCATATTGAAGACGGTCAAAGGAAAAATCGGAGCTGCTTGACGATGATACCCTGGAGGAAGATTTTCCGCGCTGCGAATCTTTTCCTCGGCTTCCGCAATCTTCAGTCTGCAAACAAATATTGATACTCTTGCGCTTTTTGGGACAACTTCAGCTTTTGTCATCAAACAAGTTCCCTATTTTATTCTATTTCCCCAATAGATCTGCAAGGAATCAAAATTTATGTCTGGTTTCCGCCCGCATTTCGGAACATTAGTCATTCAAACATTCCATCATTAATTATTTTCTTCTTGTCGTATTTGACGCTGATAATCAGACTTTTCTCATTCTCGTGATTCAGAATTGAAGCATATTCCTTGAATTATGAAGTTGATGCGTATTTTTTGTTCGGACTTTGAATATTCATTCGTGCAAACTTTTGGTCATTCATGGCATCATGGGTATACATTTGCAAAGTACAGTTTAATTTTCTGACACGCAATTTTTTCTGAGACGCTGCGTAGAGTACGAAAAACAGCAAACTATTATTTATGATCGGATGGAAAAAATTAAAGTGTCCCGGCTGCTGATTTATTTTGCACTTTATATTTGGTATGAAATGGGAATTCTTTTTGGATGCGCTCAGAAATCCGGAAAACCTCACGAGAATATGACTAGAAACACGATGAAAAAGTCCCAGAAAAACGTAAGATAGTCTGCTGGGGATCTTCTGCTGTCGCTACTGTATATAGTATTTTTTTGGTTTTCTTAGTAAAAGAACGGCGGTTGTTTGTGTCCGGATTTATCACCCCGGAGTCGTTTATGTAGCCCGTGCGACTGAAATGACAGTCATTTTCTCGGGAAATGTTCCTCGCTAACTGCTCCACTTTTCGGCAGAAGTTGGCGGAAAGTTCCGCCTGCTTGGGTCACTTTTCCGACCTTGGTTTTGCTCAACTGACAAAATCCCGCCAAAGCTCAGAAGCAGAAGCAGCAGGAGCCCACTGACCAGTCACGAATCCCGGGAATTGCCTGTTTATTCCGCAGAAACTGTCGACCCCTTTCTTTTATTGCGTAAGGCACCAGTAAAATGCCCTTCAACGGAATAGGCAGTACAGTACTTTTTCTCGGCTTAATTTGTTGCCAAAAAAAAGAGAGTGCATTTTATCCGGAAAGAGACATTTCTATGAACAGTCACGTTCAATCCATAAATTCTTTTCTGGGAAAGGACTGGTTCGTACTGTGTTCACTCAGGTTTATTCAAGATCGAATTCAGTTTCTTAGCGTTCAAATCTTTATTGAGAAATTTTGTAGTTCAATTGCCTTTTCTTTCACGATTGATTAATTTTCCGAAAGGTAAGTTTCTTTGAATATCTGTTGGAAACCACGTGACAATATTTATTCAAGATGGGATTTGAGGTAATTGCAGTAAACTTTCCCAGGAATCTGAATTCAGTTTTTCCCGTCTGAAGTTTTTAAGTGGTCAAATACCCACTGTAAAACACCATACTTTTTGGTAATTCAGATACATTAATATGTTTGAAAAAATCAGGACGACATTCTTGATACACCATACCGAAAAATACACCATTTTTTTTATTCATTGAGAACTTTATAAACTTCAATTTAAAAAACACAAATTATAACATTCATCAGCCGTGAGAAAAAAAGTACTGTTTACTCTAATATGAATGTCTCCCTCGAAAAAAATTCGATCAATTAGCTGAGGTCTAGAATTAATTAGGGTTAACAATAAGGAATTTTTCTGCTTCGAAACGGTAATTTTTGACATCAAAAAATGAATATATTGCTCCAGTTTCATTCAGCATAATTTCTTCAAGTGCATTTTTAAAAATTGCTCAGCGACGCATGCGAACGTGTTTCCAACTAAGTTTCCGAGTTGATGGGTAGATGTCGTCTCCTTACACGAACAAGTGGGTTTCCCGAAGCCAGGAATTGTTCGGTCAGCCAAAACCCCCACGCGTTATTATGCTCAAAATCATCGACACCGTATTGGTTGACTATACATGCCAAGGAAGACAGAAATCCAGTCTTCTGTGTTGACAAGCTCGTCCCGGGATAATTCCGCTTCATGGTTAATTACAATTATCGGATCGTTCACCGGAAGCTCGCACGCGCGCGACGCGTGAAGCTCGAATAATCGCCTTTTTCCTTTAGGAAAAAACATTAATCCCCACTTCCTGCTATTCGCTAAGCAGAAGCGGAAGTCTCTCGTTGTTGCCTGTCTGCGTCGAATAAACATCAAATTGAATAATATTAAGTATGAATAAATGAAGAAAAAAAAATCGTGAGAAGCGGAGTGAAAATGCTGGCCACTTTTTTTTTTGGTCCGGAACGAGTGAAATTGTCCGAACTGCGGTTTCTGATTTCAATGCCTCGCTGATCGCGTGAGATCACGGAGCTCTATACGAAAATACCATATAGGCTACTAACCGTTCTTTCCTCGGAAATTCAAACCTGTAATTTGCACTGACAACATTTTTTTTCATTTATTCATCACGTGTTCCTGTTTTTCAGGATAAGTGGAATGAGAGGAACCACGACGAACAACTGCGGGTTGAGACCATCTGCTTTGTGCATGACGGCGTCTGAGTTTGTTTTCCCTTCAGTCAACAAGTCACAATTGCAGCCGGAAATGAAATTAGGCTTTAAATTGGCAGTTATTACCGGATATTCGACGATCTGAATCAAATCGGCGATGACGCCAGCATGCTATGCTTTCGATTTATACTTTAGCTGGAAAGAAACAGCGGGTAAAAATATCCCCTGCATATTTCAAAAACTGAAAATTGCGTAAATCAGAGGTAAAATGCAGTTTTTAAACCCATAAGTTCGGTTTTAAAAATCGCATTTCAGATTATATTACCTGTATTTAATGCTCCTTCACTTCCCTTTTCAACTCTTAGTTTCGTTGATATATCGAACGTTGCGTAATAAAATAAATAAATCTTGCAGAAAACATAAAAAGTGTATTTGGCGAGGTAATATTTTACTTTTATTTTTGTTCCAGTTTCGCATATATTATGGCTTCAATTCTACCAACAACAAAATTATGCAAAAAATGCTCTTTTCATCCTTCAATAGTGTTGAATTGCAGTGCTATTTTCGGCTAAAATGGCAGAACATATTTCTAAAGTTTTCACAAGTTATTGGCCAAGACTGACCCTGCATCAAGACCTGGTTGATTTCGAGAATGGAAGATTGCTGGGTCAATTTTAAAATTTGAAGAAATAACCCCGATGAAGAACTTAATACTGTACCTTAAAAATCTCAATTTTCAAATTCCAATGAAAATTATGTTGAGATAAATCCCGAAGACTGAAGTGCAGCATATAAATCACAAATCCAGGAATAGTCAACTGTGTCTTTTCGGATGCATTCGCATATTGAAGACGGTCAACAGGTGCATTAGAGAGAATTTATAACTCACGGAATCGCTTCTCGACAGCTTTCGCAGTTCAATGCGAAAATAACGCATATATCATAATGAAAGTAGAGGGGCATTAAAATGGCTAGAAACCGATAGCGATAAAATATATGCGTCTGCACTCGGTTTGCCTATACTGTATAATAAAAAAAGCGACAAAGGAGACGACTGATAACACTGTACCTGCATTATGCAAATGAATATACAATGCACGAAAACGAAGGCCGACGCTGAGCTGCGTTTATAAAACCCAACAAGTTTCGGGCAGGTGCCAGCATTCCCAAAAAATCGTCGCCGTTGATGCACTTGAAGTGAGTTCTCTTCTTCGATAGTGAGCTCAGTCTTGGCAGCAAAACACGGACGATGTTCAAATTCAATTTACTAATTATTGCCATTTCTTGCTGCGTGTGCAACGTTTTCGGCAAAAAGCAAGGTCAGTGAAAGGCTTCAACATGCATTTTTTTCATGTGCAATTCTGTATTTTGAATTTGTGAGAGTCGTATTACACATAAATTAAAAAAGTTGACTTACGGTAATAACTGTGTCTCCCAAACAGCTGTAAGTTACCCATGTGAAGAACGCATACAGAATCGATTTCATTAAGAATAATTCATGAAAACCATGTGTATTCATGGATATTTTTCGTTTTTCCACATGAGCGAAATGCCATAAAATTTCAAGGAAATTCTTCACCATGAGTATAAACAAATAAATTTGGGCATTCTTCAACTGGCTGCTGAAAAACAAATTGCTGATGATGTGGCACTCAAAAAGTTAACATTATTTCTACGAATAATGATAATATTTCATCAATCTTTGCAAGTAATCCCTGATTTAATTTCTTCAAAGAATATCTATTTGAAATGTCCTCACAAAAATTTACATTATCCAAGGAAAAATTGAATAACCTAGCGTTCAATTTCAACTTTTGAGAATATGGTGCGGGATTAAGACTTGGTTCTTTACAGTATCAAATCCCATTTCAAGGCAATTCTACTGAATTTAATTCAAACCATTAATGAAAATGCCACTCGATTCCACGCTGTTTAATTTCAATAATTTTCCTAGCGCGCTGATGATAAAGCCATGACTTCATATCCAGTAATTCTCAACTTCTTCTAGTAATCTAGACCAATCTTCGTATTGATTCAATATCAGTTCCGTGGAAGTGATACGAACATTTCTTGCAGAATGCCCCGGGGCGGATGCTCAATTTGAAGGGACATGCTACAAAGTTCTTCCGGATCAGTACGACTGGATGGGAGGAGTTGCAGCATGTGCAAACACTACACCTGGATCAACCATGCTCGCTATTGAAACAGAGGAGGAGAACGAGTTCCTGAAAACGTGGCTAGCTGGTGCCATTGCAGGTAAATATTTAAATATTCATACAATGAACCTTGTGAGCGTATACTATAGAACTAGTTCGGTTGCGACATCGAAACTTGGTTGCATCAGAAGTATTACAATACTTGAATTCTTCTCGCTGGAGAGTGGTTAAGGAACCATTGTGAAAAATTAATTTCATAGGGTCGAGGAAAAAATCTTGTGCTCTAACATTTTTTAAAAACTTTTCTTCCTATTCATGTTCTGCAAAAATCAGGTACGAGTTGCACTTCATTTTAATTTATTGTCACATAAAAAAGGATTGAATGCTGGTCTTAGCTGCTTAAAGATACTCATACTGAAAATATTCAGGGGTGACATCTCCTTCAACTTTCAACTTTCTCCTTCAATAGTTTCAACTACGAAAAAATAACTCAACTGAAGCCACACTCAATATCTAATTTAATAGGCAACTGAATGCCCGACGCCGTACACAACACATGAACTAACACGTTGAAAATGACTCGAATAACTTTAAGGCACTCAAATTAAACACAAAGAATTTAGTGGAAATTTTCTCTATTTAATTCTCTTTAATGCCACCAGTTGTGAGTCTCCTGAAGTGCAAATGATTGAAAAAGCACTTATTAAAGTGATTTTTGCTCATCAAAAGCCTCTCGAAGTCGACTGACTGCTTCAGGAAACTTCAACAGGATAAATTATAAAATAATTTTTGAATTTACGAATTTTTGTGGATGCTGGAGGCGAGAAGAGAAGGTGATGAAGGATGCTCATCAAAAGCCTCTCGAAGTCGACTGACTGCTTCAGGAAACTTCAACAGGATAAATTATAAAATAATTTTTGAATTTACGAATTTTTGTGGATGCTGGAGGCGAGAAGAGAAGGTGATGAAGGAAAAACTTCAAATTATAATTACTGTGATTAATGTAAAGCTCAACAATTTTCCAATTACCATTAGGAATATTATTGAAGGTTGTTTCCATATTTACTTCAAATTCAGTGGACATTTTTTTCATTTTCAAGATGAAATATAAGGTTTGAACATTCAAGAACCTATTGGATTTCTTCGAATTTCGTGTTTTGTCGAAAACCTTTTAATACTAATGCAGGAGAATTAAATTGTACTGTCATATAATTAACCTTTGTTTATCTTGGATAGCAATCAGCAATGGAGATTACAAATATGCCTGGTTGTACGGAAGTGATCTGGGCGAAAACAAGAACTTCCTGTGGCACAACTCCAACGGAACCGGGTCTCATCCATTCGGCTTCGATGCCTGGGGCATTGATCAACCCAGCTCAAAACCTCACTACCACTGCATGGATCTGAACCTCGAAGACAACTTGTTCACCTGGGATAGTTACCCATGCACAGGGTTCCTCAACAATTCCAATGGCGAACCCGTCGCTGTGGAAGACTTCGTAGTTTGCGAATACCCCATGCCCTCTTTGTGGGAATGAATCCAAAAAATATTCTCGGGTTCTCACGGTTAAAAATAAAACGGGTTTGAATTGAATGGTTGACAATTGGTGGTTTCAATAAAAATAAAAGTTATTATGTTTTAATGTTCCATTCAGCAGTTGGCATCACTTAAGGACTGATAGATTTTTTGAACCAGGAGAACTGTGGGAATCAGCACCAGCACTGCCGTGATCAAGTCCTTGTTTTCTTGAACATCCATCTCGTCTCCGGTTTCTAACTAGATTAAAGACACAGGGGATTAATGAAGGTACATGTGCTCTCTAATGATCTTCAAGTCATAACGAGTGTAATTAAGCAGGTATAGGAGTAAAATTTCAAAACCATGCTCAGTTTCCTCTAATATGATTCGTTTCCGGATTCACACGGATCAATCCAAAGTGACACGCAATTATTCTGCGAAATGTTTCGTAGTTCGCATTGCGGTGGGATTTAAGATAAACTTCAGTCGTATCCTTGGTACTGGTCGTCGTCACGAGTAGTTAGAGAGTACTTGTTTATGGATCTTAATGACTATGGACTTCCGTTGGTGAAGGACTGACTAGATAGGGGATGAACAAACTTTGGCATAAATGCAAAAAAAAGTAACTGGAGCACTCATGGATACAATCATGAGCTTTTTTGTTTGCCAAAGATTACCAGCCTACGCCCTGCGTGATCCATCTGTTGGTTTTTGTCCAGTGAACCGCTTATTCGGTGTAATTGAAGGTTTGACTTGAATGCACGAAAAAAAAGGGTCTGTTACGAAGGTTTCATAAAAAATTTCGAGATTTTTTTACAAAATCAGAAGAATCGTTTCCAACGAAAAAAAAAATGTATGATAGTGTAGCATACGTTACGTTATTTCTAGACAGCGGATTTTTCTGCAAATCTCGGGAATAATTTGACACTTCTATTCAAGAATTTTATCGGCAGGAAAAATTTGACACAAAGGGAAATGGCTTTTCCCCCTCACATTCGATTTTCAACTGAAGGAAAATCTTTTTACTCAAATTTAAAATACCCAAAATTAGGAAAAGCTTAGGCGCATTTAAAATAATGATTTTCCGCAGAATTGAAAAAAACTGTGAATTTCAGAAACGAATTCTAAGCATAACGTAAATGTCATTAAAGATAGATTGACATAGAATTTTCGGAGACTATTGCAAAGAATCAACAGCAACAACGCTGAAAATGTCTTAAATTATCTTTATCCGATTTTTATAATGCAGAAACTTGTGGAGTAAGATCGGAATAACGAAAGAATACTTCGTGATATTCTGTTTGCGCAACGTATTCAAAATTCTAAATGAGGCACACACAAAAAAATATTCTCGTCAGACGATGCATTTGAATTTAAAATCATGCATTCACGTTTACTGAACATGATTTTCACCAAAGTTTTATCTAAGATTGATTCGTAAAAGCGGAGGAGAAAAATTTGGGGCAGCCCCAAGTAGAAACGTTAAAGTGAACTTCTGTTCAAAATCTCGCAATTCTTTTGCAGACGTTGCTAAACGAAGGTTAAAAAATGTCAAGGGCAAAGCAGGACATTGCAAATGTGTGTGTGTGTGTGTGCGTGATATTAGGCCACTGATTTCGCTGCCCACTTTATTGCTACAGTTGAGGGAAGAGAAAATTATAGCTTCCGACATGAGCTCATCCGTCACGTTGCTAACTGCCGTCTGACAGAGCTTACCGGGAAAGTGTTCTGAGTCAGTATGCACGTTTTCAATTTTTATTCCAACCCATACGAAGCAAATTTCCGTCAGCCACTCCATCTTTTCTTGATGCTTCCAGAAAAAAATTCATAAATATACTTCAACAGTATTTACTTTTAAAAAACGCATCCTGTAATTTTTCTTCAAATTTTGTTCCTTTCCGAAAAGCTCTTGCAAATCTAATACGCGTCGTTGAAAAATGTACTTGTTCAATTTTTATTCCGACTAAATTTCCTCCAGCCACTCCAGCTTTTCTTATAGTGCTTCGTACGAAAAAATAGCTAAATCTACTGCAACTTCATTTACATCACAGTAAATATATATCCAGAAGTTTTCTGCTAAAAAAATGTTTCCCTATCCAATTCTTTAAATGTTGCAGGCAAAAATACAGTAATGCGCGCCTTTAAAATGCAATTTTCAATTTTTATACGAAGAAAATCTGTCAGCAAATCCATTTTTTCTTAATGCGTCCTACAGAAAAAATTAAATCTACTTCTACAATATACTTGAAAAAAATCCAAAGATTTCGCTTGAAATTGTGTCCTTCGAATTTATAAAATTTTGCTTGCATTTTTGATAAGCGCCTTTGAAAATGTGCGTGAATAGCTCATCGGTAGCTTATTTCGCACATGCATTTTTTAATGCTTGCTATTAATTGTTGGACCTTAAATGTAGCAGAACTCGAAAGTGTGATTCCATGATACAGGCCAAACATTTCTTTCTTGCAAAAATGTATCCTTGGTCACTTACAGAAACTGGGATATTCTTGAGTTTGTCGAAATATTGCTGAAGATTCTTGGGTGTCCTGATTAACATGAAAACATTTCGCAGATACTTCATACAGACAAAACTCGACAGTTTCTATTTTAAATTATATTTCATGCGATTTATCTTCAATTGCTGCCCTTATCCAATTTAATAAATTGTTTCTTGCAAATCTAATACGCGCCTTTAAAAATGTGCGTAAATAGTTCATCGGTAGTTCATTTCGTATTGTAGATACATTTTGCTTTAAGGTTCGTTATCAATCGTTATTATTTTTCAATCGTGAATATTTTTTTATGAATGCTCGTGGAATGGCTGAACATTGTTGAACGACTTGCCGATTGACAAGAAAAAATCGTCACATGCAAATCTGCGGTTGCATGAAATGTAAGGACACAATTTTCATACACCTTACATACGAGGGAGATGATGTATTTAGGAAGGGTTTCAAGCAAGTCAAAAATGTCTGGAAGTTGACAGGAGTTCTGATTGAATTATTTTCAAAAGTGTGAGTTCAATCTGGTCTGCGGATCCGACGATAAATCGCTCGGCTGTGCATTTTAGTGCATTTCGCGTGGGAAACTCGCCTATTAATTCGTATGACGATGAAAGACCCGCCACCCACGAATATAAAGGTTTCCTTGAACCCGGGTACGACCTGATCCATCTTCCATCCATTTGCGTGATTTGTTGAGTCGTAAAAAAAGCGGTTGACCTTCGTTTTTCGAAAGGGACATTTTTGGGTGAGCAATGTGTGATGAATTCCTTCCGTGAGGAAGCAAGAAAACCCCTTGAGGGCGGAATGCTTCAAAAATATATTTTTTTCATAAACCTTCAATTTTTTTT